GATCCAGGAAATGCCCAGGAAGCAGAATCTGCTCTAGAAAGGGGCGTGGCCAGGCGTGGCGAGTGATCTAGTGGGTGGGGGATGTCACTCACCGTGATTGGTTGACGGCTCTGCAGTCTCTGGGAGGCCTGACAGCGGCTGCTCGTCCTCTCGCCTCGTGTCCACCGCTGGTTCACCAGCTCACCCCGAAACTCATTTTCTACAGGGGGGGTGGGGGTGGGGGGGGGAGAGAGAGAGAAATCATCAGCATCGATGGGGGTTGGGGGGGGGGGGGGGGCTGCACACACCCCTTTATTAACTAAAAGAAGAGCAGCTCACGTCGCACACAAAGGCCCACCTAAGTGTCCCAGCTGGGCCCCCGTCCCTCTGGTGTGTGTGTGTGTGTGTGTTGGAGGGGGGGCAGTAAATAATGAATCATACATGAATTATTCCTCCTCTCCGACAAGGAAAGCTTCTCATCTCAGACCCAACAGCTGAGCTTCAGAGCATCGCAGGCTGAAGTTTCCAGCCGAGCCGAGCCGGAGCTCCCAGGTAGCGTTCGGCTCGGCGAGGCTGGAGCGTCTCTGAGGTGAAACAGGAAGTGATTCCTCCTGCCTTACGGAGATGCTTAATCCTTGTTTCTGCTTCAGGTTTGAGTTTTCCTGGGGGTGACCCCATCACACCCACAGCTCCGCAGCAGGAAAACGCTTGTTTATCAACTTTCCACCTCATGTGAGAACGAGCTGACAGCAGCAGTCCTGCTGGTCCGCATCTCCGTCTCAGCTTTCTGCCTCCAGACTCACAAACGCTCCTATTTCCCTTCTTTAGGAATATTTCAGCTCCCAGTCTGGAGTCTGGACGTTCTGTCAGCTCACCTCCTGACCTAGCCCACAAATACATCCTAAAGGTCCCTGCCTGGCTGCTCATCTCACCTAAAACCACACAGAGCCCGTCATCCTGCCGGGAAGATCAGAGTACCAGGCGGAAGGGTTAAAGAGAAACAACACAAACTCCAGATGTTTACATGGATGCAGAGAAAAGCTTTGATGGGACAGCAAACTTCCGGCTGATGGGAAGCAGCGGCGGGCCGACGGAGCGCCGAGGTCCAAATCCAGAGTTGGATTAAACACCAGGGTGTCTGCAGCAGCCTTAGAGCACACCCAGAACCAGATGCTCGGCCCTGGTCCGGCCGCTGAGCAGGATTTACAGACAACTCAGTGTGATGACAGCGAGCCGGGTCGGAGGCGCAGAAAGACCAGGAGTTCTGCAGCGAGACGGACTCAAGGAAACAGATTATCCAGAAAACGGAGCATGAGTCTGAAATCTAAGATGCCTGTGCCTGTTATCAGTGATGGGATGGGTGTGTGGAGGCCAGGCGGCGCCATGGTAACCAGGAGGACCCCCCACCGACCTCAGCCTCACAAATGTGTCACAACAGCTTTTAAACTCAGACAGGATGAGCAGCACCGGGAGACCCGGTGTTGGATCCACCAACCCTGGTCCCGGTCCCGGTCCCGGTTCCAGACCGACCCTGACCTTTCATTCCTGACCGGCTTCACAAGCAAACAGGGAGCAGTTTGTCCCCAGCTGCTGCTTCCAGCACCTTTAGGGTCCCTCCTCCAGCAGCAGCTCCATAACCTCATCCTGTAATCCGCTGAAAGGAGAAAAACAACCGCTCCGACCTTCACCCCCGGTCCTCACGGAGAAACAGCTGACGGTCTCAGCAGCATCACAACTATTCTGGAAGTTTACCTGCTTCCACACGGCGGAAGTTTCCTTTGGAGGATGCGAGGAAGTTAAAGAGCCGCTGACATAACGCATCCTTCATCTCCTTCCTCCATCTTAGGACGCAGGTGCTTTGACAAACAGCGATGCGCACACGGAGCCCATTGCGCGGTCATGTAAGCAAAGCCAAGAGGGGGAGGAGGAGGAGGAGGAGGAGGAGGAAGGGGGAGGAAACGATGAAAATAAAAATAAAAGGCATCGAGCCTCGGCGAAAACCCGCAGCGTTTGTTCTGACTTGCTTCTGAGGACTTTTCCTCCGCTCATCTGCGCCAAAGGCGGATGACATTTGAAGAGCATCTCTGTTCCTGCTGCAGAGGATCAAATGGCCAACCCCTCCCTCCATCCCTCATCCTCCCATCCCTCCATCCATCTGTGCGCCTGTAAACATCCTCTCATCCTCATCCGGACGGGTCTCCCTCCAACCCGGAGCCGCTGCTCGGCGTCGGACGGCGGGAGCAGCTGCTCTCGCTCCCGGAGACCCAGGAGGTGAAGCCCTCAGAGGACAGGGAAGTTTGCGCTGAAGGAGATGAAACGAGTCATGTCAGCAGCGGCTGCGGCTGCTCGGTGCCCCAAACAGCGCCATACCAGGGAGGAGGAACCACTTAAGGACCAAATAAACGCGCACTTTATTTTAGGGAGAATTCAAGTTTTACAGAGCGGCTGAGTTTTATTCACAATGAAGATCTTCCAGGCTGAGGAGCAGCAGCATGACCCGGAAACCAGCAAAGTTAGAATAAATATGATTTATAATCCCCACAGATTTAAGAAAACGTGGATTTTACCTCCTTCCTGTGTTTCCTCCGTTTCTGCTCCGCGACCTCGTTTGGCTCGGACAGTTTCAGCTGGCTTTACAAAAGTAGTTCGGAGTAAAACAAGAGAAAATCCCAGGTAAAGGTGTAGAAATCAGCTGACTATCCCGTCCCGAACGTCCAGCTGCAGAAACGGGGAGCGGACGCGCGGACGGACGGCCTCTACGCAGCGCCTCTGCGCACGGATCCGCACCCGCGCCTCACCGACTTGTTTGTAAGCAAAAACATGGCTTCATTTGCCTTTGTCAGCGAGGTGGGGAAAAAACCTAATATTGACTTACCTTTCCCTCACGAGCCATTGTACCCCCCCCCCCCTCCGCCCCCCCCCCTCCGCCCTCTGCCATGACATCACGGAAGCTGTAGTAAAACCTCCAGCATCAGATGGGCAGGGCTTAAGCCCCCTCCCCCACACACCTCCCCCGTTACTACACACAAACAGAGCCCCCCCCCCCCCCCCCCGACTTTCTCCCTCTCTCTCTCTAATCTGATTTCTGCAGACAAGCCGAGCAGAAGTTCCTGAAATCTCAGAACCTTCTGACATCAGAGAGCTTCTTTACCTGCTACCAACCACCTGAGCTCCCAGAGACACCATCTGATAAGTCCTGTGTGTGTGTTTGTGTGTGTGTGTGTGTGTGTGTGTGTGTGTGCGTGTGTGTGTGTGTGTGACTACACCATCATCTGTGTCACAAATCTGGATAAACTTGAAACAACAAAGATCTGCTCTGATGTTGAAACTTGGCCTCAGACCCAAACGCTGCTCTGGCCGGTTCTGCTCTGGCCGGTTCTGCTCTGGCCGGTTCTGCTCTGGCCGGTTCTGCTCTGCTGTTTTGAAACCATTAGTGGGAATGACAACCATTCATTACAAGCCATTTGAGAATAGTCACCACAAATGCCATCCTTTATCTGCCGTCTCCACGCCGCGCACGCAGGGAATATTCAAAAAGCCCAACCTTCAGCTTTCAGAAATTCTATTAAATTCTTATCTCTTTGCAGCAGGCTCTTTCTGTGCAATCCCATTGTTATGCGTTGGAGCAGAAATCAATCACCAGCAGCGCATGCAGCCATCAGTATGATTTCAGACTTGCTGCAGAGAGAGAAAGGACTCACAACAGCAGCAACAATCGAATAAACAAAAGAGGAGCAGGGATAAGAAAAGTCCCTGATCCAACTGAGGGAAGCCCCGCGCAGGAAGTCAGGGACTTTGTGGGTCGGGTTTCAGTTTCTGGAGATCCAGAGAAGATAAGAGAGCAGCTGATGGAGCACAAAGCTGTGGGATACACTCTCAACTCTTCCGTCTGTCACTGAGGACACGTTTCAGGACTGAGAACAGCTCCGATGTGCTGCGTTCAGGAACGGACAGCTCCGCCAGCACAGGGACTCAGAATGTCAGAAACCAATAAAACTCTCAAAAGTTAAGAAACACAAAAATCTCCCCAAGACCCATAAAAACGAGTCAGAGCTCACAGTAACCAACCAGTAGAAAGGCTTAATCACAGAAACACAATTTTAAACACCATTAATGACAAACCCGGATTGGGCACTACCAAGCCTCCGTACAGATTTGACTTAGTTATCATTAAACTGACGTCTGCGACTGACGATGTTCTAGTTAGTTTCTTTCTCTTATGTAACTCTGACTGGCTTTAAAGGAAGAGCACATTTAAATAAATACTCTTTGTTCTTTTATTGTTTCAGGTTGAGGTAAAAATCTTTAAAAATTCAAACGTTTTGTTGAGAAAATGTCTCTAAAATCAGGTCAAAGCGTCACTTTTGACTGGAGGATTCAAGTCTCTGCTGCAGAAACTAAAGATTTATGGAGCAACCTCGTTAGCTCCAAACTTTAGTCGTTTAAACCCAAGTAACTCTGCTTCAGCCGGACCAGAACCAGAACCAGGGAGCATCGGCTGGAGAGCTGTTTAGGAGTGTGTGTGTGTGTGTGTGTGTGTGTGTGTGTGTGTGTGTGTGTGTGTGTGTGTGTGTGTGTGTGTGTGTGTGTGTGTGTGTGTGAGGATGCAGATGGCACAGAGGCCTGCAGCTCTATAGATGGTGGGTATATTGTGCACTAGTATAAATATCAGATTGGGGGGGAGCTGACTGGGCGCTAAGTTTTTTTTTGGGGGGGGGGGGGGGGGGGGGGTACTATCGACAGATGGAGCAAGCAACCAGACCAGCACTCACTCACACACACACTCACACAGAAAGTTTAATAAGCCCGCAGCTTGGCATTGTCCCGCGGTACCGCCGGGGCCACCGGGCCTCTGGGACCGGCGGCTCTTTGTCTGCTGAGTTTTTCTGTTTTTACTCCAAACAACAAAGAAAGTTTGAGTCTGGAGATCAGACGGCCTAAGCCTCTTTAAACCCGAACAGCAAACAGCTCCTTCTGCACGTAAACCCATCTTAATGATGGTAACAATAATAATAATAATAATAATAATAATAATAATTTAACCGGGTGACGTTTGCAGCGGCAGAAGAAATCAAAGAAGACATGAGATGAAAATGAAGTTTTCTCTGACAGTTTAGATAATGAATGAATGAATAAATGAATGAATGAATGAATGAATGAATGAATGAATGAATACATGAACGCTACGAACCCAGAAATGTGCAACACAGCTTCATCTTTGTGCTCTTCTTCCTCCTCTCTCTCTGCAGCCGGTAACTTTACTTCTGCTTCTGAAACTTCTCCTAACTTTACTTCAGCTGCCCTCTCCTGCCTCCTCCTCCCCTCTGGGGTTCAGCAGGTCTGAGGGGCGGGGACCCCACCAGCTGACTGACAGGGAGGAGCAGCCAATAGGAGGAGGCTGCCCGGAGCTGGACCCAATCCCAGACTCCTGAGTGTCAGCTTTCAACAACAAAAGCTGTGGAGCAACAAAGAGCATCTGCTGCTTCTCACCCAGAGCCACCAGACTAGGTTTCTGTTTACTGTTGGTTCTGGTTCTGGTGTGGGTAAAACCCAGAATCTGAGATGGTTCTGCTCCTCCAGCTGGCAGCAGATGTGAAGCAGCTCAGAGTCAGAGGAACCTTTTCGCTGGACCTGCAGGTCCACTCAGGGAGTCTGGGTCTGGGACGGACAGACAGGTCCTCCCTCCCTACGGCAGATGGCCTGCCAGATAATGAGCTGCGTTGCTGGCGGCTGCGGCAGCATCAGCTGTTCTTTGTTATCGTTTAAACTATTTAAAAACAACTTTTATAGAAACTAGATGTAACTGGAAAACTCCTAAATCCATTTTTAACCGGGGTGTCCAAAGTGAGGCTCATGGGCCATGTGTGACTCTCAGAGTGATGCTGTGTGGTCCTCTACCACATCAGCTTCCTCCTTCAGCTCACTGTTGCTAATACGAAGCTAAAAGTAAAAGCTTGTTACAACTGTGTATACATATATAATCCAACGTATATACCCTAATGTATATAATCTGACAATATAATCTAATATATATAATCTAACATATATAATCTAATATATATAATCTAACATATATAATCTAATATATATAATCTAACATACATAATCTAATATATATAATCTAACATATATAATCTAATATATATAATCTAACATATATAATCTAATATATATAATCTAACATACATAATCTAATATATATAATCTAACATATATAATCTAATATATATAATCTAACATACATAATCTAATATATATAATCTAACATATATAATCTAATATATATAATCTAACATATATAATCTAATATATATAATCTAACATATATAATCTAATATATATAATCTAACATACATAATCTAATATATATAATCTAACATATATAATCTAATATATATAATCTAACATATATAATCTAATATATATAATCTAACATACATAATCTAATATATATAATCTAACATATATAATCTAATATATATAATCTAACATACATAATCTAATATATATAATCTAACATATATAATCTAATATATATAATCTAACATATATAATCTAATATATATAATCTAACATACATAATCTAATATATATAATCTAACATATATAATCTAACATACATAATCTAATATATATAATCTAACATATATAATCTAATATATATAATCTAACATACATAATCTAATATATATAATCTAACATATATAATCTAATATATATAATCTAACATATATAATATAATATATATAATCTAACATACATAATCTAATATATATAATCTAACATATATAATCTAATATATATAATATAACATACATAATCTAATATATATAATCTAACATATATAATCTAATATGTATAATCTAACATATATAATCTAACATACATAATCTAATATATATAATCTAACATATATAATCTAATATATATAATCTAACATACATAATCTAATATATATAATCTAACGTAAATAATCTAATATATATAATCTAACATATATAATATAATATATATAATCTAACATATATAATATAATATATATAATCTAACATATATAATCTAATATATATAATCTAACATAAATAATCTAATATATATAATCTAACATATATAATCTAATATATATAATCTAACATATATAATCTAATATATATAATCTAACATAAATAATCTAATATATATAATCTAACATATATAATATAATATATATACTAACATATATAATCTGATTTGATGTGTCTAATGTGTTTCTTTAAAGTGTTCCTTTCATTTTTGTGAGCAGTGTATATAATCGAACATATATAATCCAACGTAAACACTCTAACGTACATAATCTAATGTATATAACCTAACATATATAATCTAACATGTATAATCTAATATCTTCGTCTTCGTCTTCCTCCGCTTATCCGGGTCCGGGTCGCGGGGGCAGCATCCCAACTAGGGAGCTCCAGGCCGTCCTCTCCCCGGCCTTGTCCACCAGCTCCTCCGGCAGGACCCCAAGGCGTTCCCGGACCAGAT